CCTGTGCACTGGGGCTCTGAAAAAGCCTTTCACTTTATTTGGTCCAACTCCCACTACGCTCTTAGCTACTTTCACTTTTATAGTTAAAACAATGTGGATTTTGCATGTTTCTGCCTGTTTTCTATGCCTGCGTTTTCACTATTTTTCCCATTGATTTGGTTGATCTTCACAGTTTCTCCCAAAATGACTAATTTAATCCTGAAATTTCTATTAACTAGCTTTCATGCCTTCCTACCTTCTACAAAACAGATTCCTCCTATGAAGAATATTATTCATTGAACAAGGGGTAATTGAAAGCAAAATAAAAAGTTGTATATTCAATATTGTCATAACTATGCAAAATTAATGTGTTAGACTGGGTTCTCCACAAAGCATACTCTAAAACAGGATGAAATGTGCAAAGATTAGATTAGGGGAAATGTCTGTGAGAAAAAAATGGGGAGATAGTAGAGCTGGGAGAATGATTAGACCACAAAGCAAGCTTGATCCCAAGTGACTGAAAGCAGGAAGCAGGCTGGGAGGAAGCATGCTAGACTGCTGTGTACTCTAAGGAAGGTTTGGCAAGGCTGTAGGGAGTCCTTAAGCCAAAGACTCCTCAGTCATTAGAGGAGTGTTGTGTCTCCCAGAAATGGACCTGCCTTGGTATTTCTGTTGTGCTAAGTCACTGTCTGGGAAGCACCAGCCTCATGGCACAAATGAATGGTGAATTTCAGAGAGCAGAACCTGAGGCTCCTGGTCAATTACACCCCTTGTAGTTGGGAATCTACAAGGTATGTCACTCTTCTTTTCCATATACCCCCCTAGTCCTTCCAGGAAGAACAAGTTCATGGCTTCAGATCCTAACATTTTGCTGAGGTCTGAAGCTGCAGGCACATCAAAGCAAGTGCACATCCACAAAAGTAAAAGATAAAACAATTTGCAAAGCAATGAGGCATGCTTAAGTTGGTTTCATGAGGAAATCAATGAGGTAAACACACACAGTGACACAAAAATATACGCATGTACAAATATAGTACACACTGGTGCAGAGGATATAAGGGAAGTCAACTCTCTCTGTCCACGCTTCAAAGATACAAATAAATAAGACATAGGGATTCTGTACTTTTCTGAGTGGGAGGAAAGAAAAGAAAATGCATTTATCAGGATCCCTGTTTTGTGCCAGGCACTGTGGTACGTAGTTTCATGTATGTTAACTTAAAATATATAGTACTATTTATATCCCTTATTGAATACTAATAACAACCTTCCAGGAAGGTAGTAATGAAATTCAAAGAGGTAATAGATTTAAAGTTAAGTAACATGTCTAGGATCACACATCTGGGTAAATAGTAGAACCAGAATATATTTCAAGCCTGCCAGTAGAGAAATAAGGGGAAAAGGGCATTCTTGGGAATTCTCTGTATATATGTTTTTTATTGCAAAGAATTTTTTTTCCTAAAGCATATTTAGTCTTCTAACTTCTGCAGCTGAGGGTATTTTTATACTATCTTTTTGGATCAGTCCAATCCACCTCACAGTATGGGACCAATTCTCTCACCAAAGGGAAACTTTAAGGACCCAAGGCAAGGAGCTCAATATCAAGTCAGCATCCTCATCCATCTCAGGTGTGGTGCCATGCCAATGACTGTGATTCTTTTCGGTACCCCAGTTTCAATAGGTGGTCCCCACCTTGGTTAGCTACCCAGCCCTCCAGTCTTGTTGTGACTGCACAACGGCTTTGACTTCTTTGAGTCTTTTAGAAGATTAGAGCCTTTTCCCTGAGGGACAGTCCCGATGGCTGGGGCCTTTTTTAGATGTCCTATCCTCAGGCCTCTAATTCATTCTGCACTTTACTTCTGAAGCCTCCCTGCATGGCTGATCCATCCTTGTGAATCTTTTTGGAATTCAGACCATCTTTAATCTGTTACATTTCTCTGTTAATCAAAGCTTTGTTACGACACTTACTTCAGAGTCTTGATCTCAGTGCAACAATGACTCCTATTAGCAAATAAACATTTTCAACTTGCTCCACCATCATTATTTTTTGGCTTATTAATTCAGGGCTTCCTGGTGTCCATCTTGTCCAAAAGAAAGCCTTTGTTTCAAGCATAATTGTAGAAGCAATTTACTGATCACTGCATGCATTATCTCAGTTAACCAACATAGATAAATATTATTACCACTTGTTTTCTACAGCACAGGAAATTGAGTGTGGAGCAGATTTGGTTCTCTGGAAGCAGACACTGAGATAGATTATGGATCAACACCTGTGAAAGGAAGGGGGTAGAAGCAAGACTGGGCAGAGGAAGGAGTCAAACTGTGATATAAGCCTGACATAACCTTGGTTGACTCAACTAGGAGCTCTGGGTCAAGTATTGCCCATCAGCACCCCATGCGAGGCAGAAATGGCCAGCCCTTGACACACTTCCCTTGCTCCATCACTGGATGCAGGCTGTCAAGGAAAAGCACGATCTTGGACAAGGTGAGTTTCAACTGAGCAGACAGAGAAGGAATTTACACCTGGAAGCTATCTGCTAACTGCATTCTCCATAGCTAAGAGCAAAGCTGTCCTTGAAGGGGGATCTGAGTGGCGCATCTCTGTGTCTACCACAGACTCTAAGAATCTAGGAAACCTATGAAAGATTCTACAGCTTGTAAGTGCCAAAGATTTGATACCAAGTTTTTGTGACTCAAAAGTCAACCCTCCCCACCAATTCATAATTGGTTTCCAAATAGCCATTCGAACCAGCTGTATCAGAATTACCTTGGGGGATTTCTTTAAAATAGGGATGTTTGACCCAATCTTGTGACATTCTCATTCAATGGATGTGGATGTGATCCAGGAATCCCATCCAGTTTATAAAAAGTTCCCAGGCTGATTCTAAAGTACAGTCATACACAGAAACCTTTGGTCTCTATAACATGGATGGGGGGAGGACACCAAGTAGAAGAATGGAAAGGTTGTAGACACTGGACTGCATGTGTGGCAGAAGTTATACAGTGTTTGTGGGGTGTTAAAAAATTCAGAACCAAGATTCATTCCTCTGGGCTGACGTTGTTTAATGTAAGTGGCAAGACCCCCCCAGGACACTTCATCTTGATTTGTAATTGCTGTTCCTCTGATCACTCTGGACTGAAAATACTGGAGGAAGTGCAGCTGCTTCATGATTCGTGAAAGCAACTGAGTCTGTAAGTGAATGGAAGAAGTTGCCCTCTGAGTAGCTCCTAAGATGTTTGCAAAAGAATTTGAAGATGCCAAATTCTATTTTGCTTTTTGTCTTTCACCATAAAATTGGAGATAGGTTCATGTTTTTAAAATTGTTTCTAAAATACCATACGATCACTTTTAAGAATGTAGTAAATTCTTTAAATTTACACATTTATATAAAGAGTATAATTTTCTGATCAAATAGTACATGATTATAACGGGACAAGGGTCAAGATAGAAGCTTAATTCTAGAAGAGGTATAGATTTGAAGGAAAATTCGTTGCTGAGCTAACAAACTTCTGAGCCAGGCTTCTTTCAATTCTTATTTACTAGAATAAAAACAGGAGTCAGATTCTGAGGGAGGATTTGTCTACAGTGCTGCTCTCAGGACTCCCACTGTCGCAGAATAAAGGGCCAGTTATGCTGATAAAAGTAACAAAATAGATATCTTTTTAAAAATACATTAGATGTTACATAAGGTTTTTTTCTAGATTTTATCTAATTAGCATGGGCTTTTTTATATGAGAAAATCTTTAAAACAGTGAATCATAAGGGTTTTATGCTGAGATAAAGTTTATATGACTTGTCTCTGGTTTGGGACAATATCCTGAGATCCTTGGCTTATGGTTTATGGCTTTTGACCTCTGGAACTACTTTAAAGGGACAATGAGCCTTGCGTCAGCTGCCACGGGATGTTTGCACTCTACCTGGAGCACGGGAAAGAAAGTTGTATAAATGCTGCATAAATATTTGACAGGATGTTTACTTGATAATAATGGAAGTTCTAAGAAGCTATGTATAGTTACTCTATGTTAGCGCTGTGGTGTTTGAAATGCATAAATATTTAAGTTCCAACACTAAGGGTTGATATGAGGAAATTATAGTATGGGTTGTTTGAGCTCTTTAAACTCAGGAAGAGTGGCTCATTCATCTTTTTGCCTCCAACCATTGCACAACGTCTATTTGAATCAATGAATACTTAATTGTTTTTTAACCTTAGGTATTTAAAACTGTTGAAGTTTGGCCTTGGAAGAAAATCACCAACCTCTGAGAGAAAGACTTACAAAACAACTTCTGTCAATGACCACAGATATCACAAATTTCGATTTCTCATTTGGAATCTTAAATGTGCAAAGTTAGTTAGCTTCTATGATTAGAAGCTAAGCTATTTATTAAAAGTAGCCTTGGAGAAAACAGTCCCACGTCGACCCTGAGCTATCTGATCTTGAACTTTTCCATTTCTTCCTTTATTGTTTCTATTCTATTTAATCCAGATAATAACCACATGAAGAATGTTGAAAACGGAAGTTTCCTTTAACTGCTATTCAAGATGTCATTCAGCTCGGAACTTTATTATTTAGAGAGAACATATAGCCAATACTAACGATGATCTTGTTCCACTGATATTTATCTACAGATTAAAGACACTTGCCCTTCCCTCATCTGTTGAGGAAGTGCTTCCTGTCACTCATATTCTCCATAACCTCAGACAAATCTCCACTGGTTTAATGACAATAAGCATTCATCTTACTGTGACATGATATTTGGGAAGAAAAATCTAAAATCTTTTACATAAAAGAAGTTTCGTAATCACAAGCTATGAGAAGGGAGAAAATGTATACTTACCATAGGTACTTTTTACCGTGAATTTCCTGACCTTGATTTGATTAAAATCTCAACCTAAAGATTGCAACAATAAAGATTTCTTTAGAGTTTAATTGCTCATTTCACTGAACTTTGAATGAGAAAAACCTCAGTGTGGGGCAAAAAAGGTGGTAAGCGGAAGGAGAAGTTAAGGACTGAGCTGCTTTGCAGATCAGAACACTTGAAAGTGAACAGCCAATGCGACAAGAAAGAAAACCACAGAGCAGAGTACCACGTAGTCTTTCTGTTCACTTTGTTTCAGAAACTCTTCAGGCTCTTCCTACTGTCCTCTCCCACCTCCTCTCTTCTCTATTTCACAGATGTCGCTGAGGCAGGTGACCTGATCCAAACCTGAAGAATTCAGGGGAGGAAGGGAAGCCTTCTGCTTGAGAAGATTTTCCATCCTTGATATACACAGGAAATGAAGACATCACCTGCCATGCTTGGAATTGGGAAATTGTTTTGGGTCCTCTTCCTGATCCCACATTTGGGCATCTGGAGTATCGACGGTAAGGCAGCTACTCAGATTACGTCTTGTTTTATTTCTCAGGGGGTGTAGGAGGCAATGTTTCCCTCTTTTGATCTCAGTAGGATGTAGTGTTTAGGTCAAGAGGATAACGGTAGATGAAACCAAGTAGTTAGATTTTTTCACTGAAGACGTTATAGGACATAAACCAAATTAGAACATGGTATTCAAATTATGGCTTGGCTGATTTTCTTAAAAAACATGTTCTGATGATAAGAAAAGAGAATTGGGTGGATATTATAAATAGTAAAGTACAAATTTATCACGACTACTAGCAAAAATACTCTGGATGCCGTACTGGTGGTGAATAAATAGCTTATTCTTTCCAAACTGAGGCTAGCAGAGTGTTGTAGTGCTCAGTTGTGTAGGCTAGGTGTTGGATAACTGGGGTTATAGCTGACTCCATGGTTACTCTTTAATAATGTCGCTAAGTAAAATCTCACGACTTGCTTCAGTGGGGTGTGTGCTTTGAGAATACTGAATGAGAAAATGCTGAGAAATACAGGATTGGAGCATTCCGCCATTGCTTCTATTATATTGAAAGAGAATGGTCCCTACTTGGGTGCCATTTGACGCAGAAAACAGCATGGATTCTGGATAGATGACGTTTGGCCACTTCTACAAAGATTTTATGCAGACAAAAAAGCAATTTCTTCCTTCTGGTGAGTTCACTTGCTCCCTTACATTGACACAGGGGCCTGCTTATCGTCAAGGGGGAAGGACTGCAAATAGCCAGCAGAAATTTCTGATTTTCCTCAGGTCTGGTTTCAAATACCCTGTCTTGTGATCCCCACAAGGACACATAGTCGTATCAGTTTGTGTGCTATGGATTTAAATCAGAAAATATGGTCGCTGAAATCCTATAGAATGTCATCTTCAATTCTAGAAGTGTGTGGTTTTAAATTTGTCTTCGTGATGCCAAGACAGCACACAACTAGATACAAAGTAAAAATTCCCTCAATCCTCTAAGCATTTTTATGTTTGCAGGTATTTGGTATTTCGTTGCTTAGGTGCTTAGATGGCTAACTGGATTTTTCACTTTCCATCAGATGCCTACAATCACACAGCTACAATTGGAGTCAGATATTATTAAACAGAATTCATACCAACTTGAAGAATATATAGACTATTCTCTGTGAAGTGAAGTAAAAGAATTTTCAGTGCTATATCACACTGGGAATGGGGTAGACCTTCTATTCCCCCTCCCAGAGTGCTTACAAAAATTGACTCGGGTGTTAGGATTGGGTTCATTTACTGGCTCTGCTGCTTTCTGTGTGATCCTTGTTTATTATCCTTAGTTTTCTCATTTGTAACAGAGAGATAATAATTGTACCTAAATTATGGGCCTATTGTGAAGACGATAAATGTAGTAACACGGGTAAAGTGCTTGGCAGAGTAAGTGCATATACTGAAAGTTTGATAAGTGTTAATGGTATTTTTGCCAATATTCTTTTCACCAAGCAACTTCCACAAAATTCAATTAAATGAGAAGTAAGTTTTAGCCTTATCATTTAAAATAGTTGAGTTGTTAAACAAAACAAAATGAATAAATCAAATAAATTGTGCAATATATTTAGCCCAAAATATCAAATTATTTGGAAAATGAAAATTCCTTTGTCCAAGGGAAGCCTTGGACAAAGTACTGGCCAGGTATCTTAGATAGTGGTTGATGGCTTGCCACACTACTTGCATTAAATTAAGGATACAGGTTGAGATAAATGTTTGGTGAGATTTGTTCTCCCAGACAGAGCTGATGGCTCTATCCCGTAAAACCACATTAATTTTAATCTTTATATCTTGGGGATTTTCTATGATTTACTCAATTATTGCATCATTTACACTGGCAAAGTTTCAAAATAGTTAAAAGAAAATTTTCCTGCCCCCTCTTCAAAGCAATGTGAGGTCTGTGTGCCTCTTTTCAGGAATGAGGCTGCATCCATAATAAGGTTGGGAAAAATGTAATTTCTACAAACTCCCTGTTCCAGGTCCTTCTTTACAATGAAATTATGCTTGCTTGCTTTTTGTGTTTCTCAAAAAAATTAGAGGGAACTCTGCCCCTCAATATCTAGCCTAAGATTTCTGTCCTGAAGAAAGTAATAGAAGTGTCAGCACCTTCCCTTCGTGGACAGATGGACAGGCTATGCTGACAAGAACTAGGCTGCAGGAAGAGACACCCCTACCCAGTCGTCAATGAGCAGCTCCAGTTGTGAGGCTCTGGACCACTTGTTCATTTGAGGATCAACCGAGGAGTCCACCTTCCATCAGGCGGGAGCACTGCAGTTAATGTCTGGATATTGCCTGGCACTATATATGATCCGGAATGAAGGCAGTAGGAAATCTTTGATGGATCACTGCTTATTGTGATAAAAAATAATCCTAATATGGTCTAGTACCAGAGGACACTTAGAGTTTGGCTCCCTGGAGAACACAGTAGTTAGAGCCAAGTGTCCATTTGGGTTTTGTCTGTGTCCTCTTTCCCCTTTATTGCGATGGTTCAGCGTGGTCCATGGATCCACACCCCACCTCCCATGCAGATTGTGTTGCTCCACCCCAAACTGGCCACATCCTTGGGTCAGAGCACAAACATTAGGCCAGAAAGTGCTTTGCATCTGTCTATCATTCTGTGAAGTTCTAGTTTGTAGCACAATGTCTTTATCAGGCTTGTTTCTATGGCTCTAGCTATTTATTTCTATTGAAATGTGCGCATGGTATTCTAGAGATAGAGCTCTCTTTGTCTTTGCCAAATGCTTGTGCATTGTTATTACGAAAATGCCTGCCACAAAATATGACCCCCTTTTGTGTTAATATCTCGGAATACATTCTGCAGCTGCATGATTTCCTGGATTAAGGTGTGAAAAGACTAACCCCTGCGCTGATAATAACCTTGAATAGACTTTCCTTGCACTGAGAAGCTCTTCAATTAATTGCTGCTTCCTCTGTCCTGCTATCAAAATTTCCTCTATTGTAATGTTGAAGTCAAATGTTGTTTATTTTGCTTCACTGGGACTTTCCTACTTAATTTCCACTATTTGTGAGTTTCACCTTTACTTAGAATTCAGAATTGTTGAAAGAAAAATGTTCACAGGCATCTGTAATCAGATCCAAAAATGAAATCAACCTTTTGCTTTGTTTCTTGGAGAGGCAGTCGTGGGGTGGTTAGGATCAGAGACTCCACAGCCAGACTGCCAGAGATCACTATCCCATCTCTGCCATTTACTGGTTGTGTGACTGTTACCTCTCTGGTTCAGTTTCCTCATCTAAACAATGAGGACATAGTGATATCGACTTTATAGGGTTATTGTATTAAGTGAATTAATTCTTTAAAGCACTTAAAAGAGTGCCTGACACATTAAGTTCTGTGTAAGTTTAGCTAATAATGTTTTTTTTTCCTTTTAGTCCAAAATTTAATTTGCTTAATAATTCCCTTAAAACAGTATTGGGAGACCATCTTTCCTTTGGGGTTGACAAAAGTAGTCTACAAATAACTCTTGATATCATTATCTGCTATCATCCCCAGTCACCAAGAAATGATGATACTTTGGGAATCATGCCGTTTGAGTTATTGTGTCAGCGAATTGTTGTATCATATGCAATTTGCTTCACTTTTCTAATGTTCTCCATCCCCTTACCTCAAAATAAGCTCAATATTATTCACCTTTCTAGTATCCTGTCTTGGTTATAGGCTCTGATTTACATGCTTATCTCTATAGAAGAAATTGTGTGCGCATGTCTCTGTGTAGACATGCAGAGGTATCGTTTTAGTATGCTCAGAATCTAAGCATGTAGCATTTCAGGTTCCCTTTAAACAGAGTCCAGGAGCGTGTTAGAAGGGCCTTCTAGGCCAGTCATAAGGAAACATCAAGTTTAGCTGGTGGAGCTCTCTAACTTCTCTTTTTCTCCTTCCTGATGGCCGTCTTTATCTAATGAGCACAACCTGGAACTCACATACGTCACAAACAGCCCATTGTCCAGAAGTGGCTATCAGGAAGGCTGGGGCATTTAGGTTCTAGCTGGTGGTAATGGCCCCGTTTAATTTTCTTTTACGATAGTAGAAGAGGAGAATTAATATTGGGGGACAATTGGCAGTTTCTACCCACATAGATATTGTTAATTATCTTCTACAGCTTTGAAAATGCTGGTGAACTTCAGCGTGATCTCTGTAGTAGAATGTATTAGGAAGGCAAAGAAGTATCTATGAAAGAGGTGGGGATGGACTTTCTCTGTGTCTTTCCAATAACACATAACTTACACTTTACTGTGAGCATCATAAGTAACCACTCTATCACTGAAGGCAATATTTAGAAATACCCATGTTGGTTTCTGATTAAATGCCTAATGCTCTCTTTGATCCACAGCTTGTAAGAGATGCTCTAGGCTTTTACTGCCCTACTTTTCTTCCTGAAGGCACTGTGACCAAGGTGGAGGGCCTAGCATGTCTGAAGGACAGGGCCCACCTGTAGCAGGCAGTCAAAGTCTCCTCTGGCCAGAACTAGTCTCTAAATTGTCAACACAGATCATCGTTCTTTAGGGCTCATTAAACTGGCTAAAAACTTTTGCTATTCTAGGGAGATAATTACACATTGGCCAGTGAACACCCCAATGGATGCTCATCCTTGTCACATAGGGTGGGCAGGACTCTGAAGGAATGGAACACATGTGAATTCTCTGGCCTGGGGAGACAAATGCAGTGACCAATAGGGTAGAACTGCAAGGGGACATTTGTCACTTGGTAGAAATATAATTAAAAACTACTGAGAGAAAGCTTGGAAAAGTATCCAAAGACAAAGATTTTTTTATTTCCCAGTTTTGACCAAGGCCAGCCTTGCTGGTTAGTATAATTCTATAGGAATTCATCTCTCAGATAAAAGGACATTTTTCTATGAGATGTATTGCCTTTTCTCTATTATATTTGTTTGCCTGATGTACACACCAGTCATTATGCATCACTGCTGATCCCTGAATGCAGCTGGGAATAACTGTTCA